TAGCTGCCTTCCCTCTAGTCTTACACTGCTAAATTAGGGACGGCTAGCGCAGATAGCTCTCGTGTAGCTTTGCGCGAAATTCAAAACAAACAATTAAATATGAATAAGAAACAGAGAGGTTTTATTTTATTGCAAGTAAACTGTATTTTAAACTGAATGTCGTATTCTTGTTTCGTTATAGAGGCAGATGAAGCATACACTATCATCAGCTAAATATTACTGTGAGAAATGACGTAAACAATTTTTACAAAGCAATTTGATTCTTTCAGTTTGTCAATACATTTTTTTCCTGCAGCTTACCAATTTCAAAATTTAATCAATAGTATTTAGAGAAATATCTGCCGCACGTGACATTCGTATTGTAATCTTAATTTTCGAGGCAATGTTTATACAATTACCTCTTGAAAAAGTATTTGTTTTTACAATTACCTCATGAAAGAGTACTTGTTTATACAACTACCTCATGAAAGAGTATTTGTTTATACAATTACCTCATGAAAGATTATTTGTTTATACAATTACTTCATGAAAGAATATTTGTTTATACAATTACCTCATGAAAAGTATTTGTTTATACAATTACCTCACGAAACAGTATTTGTTTATACAATTACTTCATGAAAGAGTATTTGTTTATACAATTACCTCATGAAAAAGTATTTGTTTATACAATCACCCCATGAAAAAGTATTTGGCTACAGCGAATAGCCCAATGCATCTTCGCTATAAAAGCAAAAACCTAATACTCTTTTATGAGGTAATTGTATAAACAAGTACTCTTTTATGAGGTAATTGTATAAACAAATATTCTATCATGAGGTAATTGTATAATCAAATACTCTTTCATAAAGTAATTGTATAAACAAATACTCTTTCATGAGGTAATTGTATAAACAACCCCAGGGAATCGAACCCTGGATAATAGGGTTGTAAATCTGCAATTAACCGCTGTCCCACCGTGGAACCAGGAAAGAGTAAGTTACTTTCCTTGATCGAATCCGTGTAAATAAAGGGACATTTAGAGTTGAATTAGTACACGACTTTGACCGGCTTCACCATGTTCGGAATAAGAACCTTAAAAAAATGTGTAACTATGAAATTACTAGTTCAGGAAAGTGGGATATATAATATCTGTATCTCACACACATGCTTCGTTTACAACTTTTATCTTCCAGGAGAATACTAGTCGTTATCAATATTTTCTTTGGACACGAGCCAAGATCTTTTACATAACGTTACCTTCACGAAAGATTACTATTTGTTAATTTAACTTTGTTTT